CCTCCTCTTCCGCCTCCTCCTCCGTCTCCTCCTCCTCCTCCTCCTCCTCCACCTCCTCCTCATCCTCCCATCATCTTCCTCCTCCTCCTCTCCTCCTCCCTTCCCCCTCCTCCTCCTCCTCCTCCTCCTCCTCTCCTCCTCCTCCTCCTCCTCCTCCTCCTCCTCCTCCTCCTCCTCCTCCTCCTCCTCCTCCTCCTCCTCCTCCTCCTCCTCCTCCTTCCATCCTCGTCACATCTTCCTCCTCCTCATCCTCCTCCTCTTCCGCCTCCTCCTCCTTCTCATCATCCTCCTCATCCTTCTCCGCATCCTCCTCATCCGCTTCCTCATCATCCGCATCTTCATTCGCAGCATCATCATCATCATCATCATCATCAGCATCATCATCATCAGCATCATCATCATCAGTCGCATTATCATCATCACCATCATCATCCTCATCATCATCATCCTCATAATCATCAGCAGCAGCATCAGCACCAGCATCATCATCAGCAGCTGCAGCATCCCATCCTCATCTTCCTCCCATCCTCCACCTTCTCCTCCTCCTCCTCCTCCTCCGCCTCCTCCTCGTCATCCTCATCTACATCCTCCTCCTCCTCCTCATCATCCTCCTCCTCCTGCTCCCATCCTCCTCCTCCTCCTCCCATCCTCCTCCTCCTCCTCCTCCTCCTCCTCCTCCTCCTCCTCCTCCACCTCCTCCTCCTCCTCCTCCTCCTCCTCCTCCTCCTCCTCCTCTTCCGCCTCCTGCTCCTTCTCCTCATCCTCCTCCTCCTCCTCCTCCTCCTCCGCCTCCTCCTCTTCCTCCTCCTCCTCCTCCTCCTCCTCCTCATCCTCCTCCTCCCATCCTCCTCCATCCTCCTCCTCCTCCTCCGCCTCCTCCTCTTCCTCCTCCTCCTCCTCCTCCTCCTCCTCCTCCTCCTCCTCTTCCTCCTCCTCCTCCTCCTCCTTCTCCTCCTCCTTCTCCTCCTCCTCCTCCTCCTCCTTCTCCTTCTCCTCCCCCTCCTCCTCCTCCCGACGACGGCGGCTCGCCCCCCCCTTGAGCCTCCTCCTCCAAGAGCGGGGTTGCCTCCTGGGCCGCCAGCTCGTCGCCGTGCGGGGGCGCTGCGGCGCCTCCGCCGGCACGAGCAGGCCCAGCCGCTCGAAGAAGGGGGGTTGGCAGCCCCAGTTCGAGCCTGGGGTCGACTGCAGAATCAGTTTACCTCAAGACTGTTTGTCCTCGTCGAACGTACGAGAAATACGTAGAACACTCGCAGGTCGTTCCATGCATTGGTCGCAGATTCGACGACGAGGAAACCACTTCTGGGGCGAACCAATTCTGTCGTCGATCCGCTACTCGACAAGGGTGTCCTCATTATCCCCTGCGGTGAGCGACACGTGGGCCTCGAGGCGGGCGCCCCACCTGCACGACTCGGCGGCCAGCGCCTGAAGCCCACAAGACACACACAGGCGTGCTCAGCAGTCCCCCCCGTGCATCGTGACGCCAGCTTTGGCACACGTGCCAGCAGATCGATGCGCCTTTGCGCTCCCACACCGTCGGCTGGCCTGCGTCGACGCCTACGGCCGTGGCGCGCGCCAACGTCCCCGAAAGAGCTTGGATGTCGGCGGCATCGGACGCACCCCAGAAGGGACCCCACACGTGGGCCCTAGGAGACCCAGCCGAGACCCATGAGCCAGGCCTTTTTCGAGGAGGGGAAAAACCACAGACACAATGAATCGCCGATTCTCCCGAAGATATTGGAAAAGATATGGGAAGTGGAGGGGAAGACAGAAACCCAGAAAGCATGCGGAAATCTTTGGGGATCCTGGGATTCGTGTCCATGCGCTTGTGTGTCCCAGGGCCCCTTTGAATCGAGAGTGGACTTTTACCATCCAGGTAGAGCTCGACGGGCCCCTTCCGACACGTGAATCGCATACAGTCAAAAACCCGAATAAGGACGCCCGAATTTGCTCAGGGTACCCTTGCGTCCTTGCTCTTCCTTGCTCTTGCGTCCTTGAGGTTTTCCTCGTCCGGCGCCCCCAAAAAACCCAACCTCGGCTTCCAAGGGTCTTGCGTCCTTACCGCGCGTCCTTGTTAGGGCTTTTGACTGTAGAGCTCGACAGGCCCCTTCCGACGCGTGCATCGCGTAGTCCCTGCCAGCACTTGGATGCCTGGCGAGGACCAGACCTCCACGGCACCGGCCCGTGGGCCGCGTGCAAAGCGCTCCCGAGCTTGTCTGCTTGTGAGTCGGGCCTGTCCCTCGACAGGAGGAGTATTCAGAGATAGGGAAAAATAGTCTGGGGACGAGTTGTTTACTGTGTTTGTTTAGTTTTGGTCATCTCTGGGGTAATTATTTCTTGTGTTTCGTCCAAAATCCTGCTCGACCTGACAATTTGGGGTATCGCAGGGGGACACGCCCGACCTGAATCCGCTTGGAGCAGGGCCCACCCTGCTCGAAAGACCCTTGGCAGGCTGGGCCGCATGGCCCTTCCATTGCTGAAACTCGCGCACAAGAGACAAGTACCCGCTGGCCGGCCTGTGGCTCCCGTGCACGAACACCTCGGAGCCTCCCCGCGGTATGCAAGCCAGCCGGGATGGAAAGACCTTCCTCGCGAACCGCGCGCCCACCTCTCGGGCCCGACGAAAGGGAGGGATTGGGAAAGGGGGGGGTACGAAATTTGCTGCATGCAGCTGGTCTCGGCCCCACCGAGGGGCTCATTCCTCGATACATAGCCGCCTCTGGCGCCGGGAGGCGCCGGGAAAATCAGCTACGCGAGCTGATTCTCAAACCCCCCCTTTGCTATCCCCCCCTTTCGCCCGACCCGAACCTCCCGCGCCCGGGCGCGCTGGAGCAACCAGCACGACTCAGGGGCAACGATTAGGGGGGGGATGGGCACAGGGTGGGGAGGAGGAGGAGGAGGAGGAGGAGGAGGAGGAGGAGGAGGAGGAGGAGGACGAGGAGGAGGAGGAGGAGGACGAGGAGGACGAAGAAGAGGAGGAGGAGGAGGAGGAGACCACCACCGTGCACGTCAGGGGTGGACGGAGACCACCACCGTGCACGGTATACAGCGTGCACGGTATACAGCGGGCCACTGTGGTGCATCGGCCCACAATCGTCCATTGATCGCCGATCGGAGCCCGATAGCCCCATACCTGCCCAGGAGCGTGCGGGTTCACGATCGGGGGCCTAATTATCGCCGATCCATCGGCGATGTATCGCCGAGTCCAGGGCGATGCGGCGCCCATGCCGCACCGCTGCCACACCGGGGGGGAGGCAAAAGGGTTAGATCATCAGAGCGCCCCCCCTCCCCTCCCCAGGGCCAAACCCTCTGGATGTGCCAGCCAGAGAAACACGACAGTTCCCCCCCCCCCCCATGATGAACGCATCCTGCCCCGGAGCTCTTCTCATCCCTCTCTCTTTTCCCCTAACTCTGCCCCCTGCTGCCTCTCCCTTTCCCCTTCCTCCCCCTCTTCATCCGTTCCTACTCCTCCCCTCCCCCTTCAGGAAATCCCCATTCATCATCAACAAACAAGTAAAAGCATCATCTTTACTCATTAACTCCTTTTCCCTTACCCTCCTCCTCTCCCCTCGTAATGAACGAGGAAGGGGGAGGAGGAGGAGGAGGAGGAGGAGGAGGAGGAGGAGGAGGAGGAGGAGGAGGAGGAGGGGTAACAAGGACGACGAGGAGAAGCACCCGCAGCCGCAGGAGGAGGAGGAGGAGGAGGGATAAGGAGTAGCAGCTGCAGTAAGCAGCAAGGGGAGAACTTGGGGAAACACTCGATGCCAGGGGATGGAACGTTTGCTCAGCGTCGACGGAGTCCAAGTGGCGCATTTGGGCAGCGGTCCTCCCTCGTCCTCCTCATCCTCCCCCTCCCCCCCTCGTTCTCCTCCTTCCCTCAATATCGTCACCCCCCCCTCCCCCCCTCCTCCTCCACTCTCACCCATGTCCCAGCACGGTTTCGCTAGCCTGCCTCCCACTCCTCGGCCCGCCTCTTCAGATCCGTTGTTATCAGGGTGCTCTGCCAGGGCAGTGATTGTTTGTCATCCTCCCCCCTGTCGCTCCGCACCGAAGCCTAAAGCTGCCTCCGCAGAAGGATCACGCCGGTAGCTTACTCCTCGAGGAGGAGTAAGCTTTACGTCGGGCGTGCCCCCCCACAGGAGGAGTATCCAAAAATAGTCCAAAAATACTCTGGAGACGATTTTTCTACTATCTCTGTCTATTTCTGCCTGTTTGTTCTTCTTCTTCCAGAACCCGCCTGTAGGGGGACGTGCCCGACCTTAAGTGAGCTACCAGCGTGATCCTCCCATTCATCGCCATCCTCCCATTCATCGCCACCCCATGCCGGAGCGCCTAAGGTGGGAGTCCCCCCTTGGGCGCTCCGGCCTGGGGTGGCGAGACACGGGGGAGGGATCGAGGGCTGCAGGAAGGGGGCCTCAAAGGGGCCCCAAAGGAGCCTCCTGGAGCCCCGAAGGCGCACGACAAGCGGAAGTTCCACCACGCCCTCGAAGGAGAAAAAACGCCATAGGCATAAACTCTTAGACCCTCTCTTGGGTCTCGTGGTGGGCCATCTTGGAGCAACGCTGAGGCCTCAAAAGCGAATCACCTGCGAGAAGGCGAGAAGGCAAAACTCATTGACGTTCCTTAGGTTCGGAGAAGCAAAAAACTTTTGGCGCTCCGCGCGGATTTCTCGGGACCGCGCTGGGCCCCTCCGATGGCGCCTCTGGCGCCGCCCGGGTCCAGTGCAGATCTAAGAAATCCGCGCCGAGCGCCAAAAGTTTATGTATATGCCTTCGTCTTCTGATTGGTATTATTCGTGTTACTGATTGCATTGTTGTTTGTTTTTTGTAGCTTTATTATTATGCTTATGTTTCTTATTATTAGTATTTCTTTAAAAATATAATGATTATTATTATCAGTATTATTATTATCCTTCTACTCATTTTCCTTCTACTACTACGCCACATCAAGCAGCGCTCAACCACCCCCTTCGTGGCCATCTGGCCCCAATTGGTCCGCGCACAGGCTTGGGAGCTGCTCGGGGCGCCACGGGTGCCTCCGACCCGCCCGCCCGAGGCGCGATTCACCTTCCTATTGCCCACCGCACACTTCACTTTCCGCTCCCGTGAGCGACGCAAAAAAACGGGGTCGCTTGCGCCGACCTTGGCGCGCAAGTTGCCCGCGTAAGGTCGCGCGTGCAGTCGAGACACTGAGATAAGGACCACCTTTGGTTCAGGAGCGGCTGCAACCTGCTCGAAGCCGAGGCTAGCCGTGACCAGAAAAGCCCTTCGTTCCTTATTTGGCGTTCCTTTTGGTAGGACGCTGACTGCAGGCGCCCTGGTCTTCAAAGTAGCGTGCCGCGCCGGCGGCCCGCGCATAAGGCGCCGCGTGAGGTCGCTGGTCAGCGTTTTCTTATTCGGCGTTTCGACATTGGGCGGAAGGGGGGGGGGAGGGTTTCTCCGAAGGGCTTAGGCGACCCGTCCTCCTCCTCCTCCTCCTCCTCCTCCTCCTCCTCCTCCTCTTCCTCGGGTCGCCTACGGCCCCGGGTGAAACCGTGCAGGGGGGAGGGGGGGAGGTTTGGCTCCGGACCTCTGCTCAGTGCGACTGTTTCCAGCAGTGCGTCCGATGGGGGGGAGACCCCACCTGCTATGTGATCGTTTTCTTATTCCTTTTTGTTGCCGATCGGCGCGTGCCCTCGCCCCCCCCCCCTCCCCCCTCCATGGAGTAGATCTTGGCTGCTTTTTGGCGCCTGTTTCGAGCAGGTGGGGCCTCCCCCCATCGGACGCACTGCTGCAAACAGTCGCATGCAGCAGAGAGGTCCGGAGGCAGACCCCCCCCCCTCCCCACCTCCTTCCGCGCCGAGTAAGAAACCGCTCCCCAGGGAATGAGAAAGCGCTCCCCTGGTGGCATCTCGCGCAAGACCCGTTTTGTGATCGTCGCTCCCGCGGTCACAGCACGCGATGGCGGCCCTCCGGCTGCTGGCGCTGTGCGCGCCCCTGGCCCGGGGCATCGCCCTCCACAAGGACCCGGGCGCAGCGCGCCAGCCAGGAGGGGAGGGCGGAGGGGGCACAACGTGTCGTCGATCCCCGGGAAGATGTGGGAGGACGTGGGAAGGGGAGGACGGGGGGGGAGGCGAAAGCCAAGAGGATATGAGGAATCCTGGGATGATCTGTGTGCATTTCTTTGAGGGTGTGTGTGTGTGTGTGTGTGCGTGTGTGCGTGTGTGCGTGTATGTGTGTGTGTGTGTCTGTGTGTCTGTGTGTCTGTGTTGTGTCTGTGTGTCTGTGTGTCTGTGTGTCTGTGTGTCTGTGTGTCTGTGTGTCTGTGTGTCTGTGTGTCTGTGTGTCTGTGTGTGTGTGTGTTGTGTGTTGTGTGTGTTGTGTGTTGTGTGTGTTGTGTGTGTTGTGTGTGTTGTGTGTGTTGTGTGTGTTGTGTGTGTTGTGTGTTGTGTGTGTGTGTGTGTGTGTGTTGTGTGTGTGTGTGTGTGTGTTGTGTGTGTGTGTGTGTGTGTTGTGTGTGTGTGTGTGTGTGTGTGTGTGTGTGTGTGTGTTGTGTGTGTGTTGTGTGTGTTGTGTGTGTGTGTGTGTGTGTGTGTGTGTGTTGTGTGTGTGTGTGTGTTGTGTGTGTTGTGTGTGTGTGTGTTGTGTGTGTTGTGTGTGCGTGTGTGCGTGTGCGTGTGCGTGTGCGTGTGCGTGTGCGTGTGTGTGTGTGCGTGTGTGTGTGTGTGTGTGTGTGTGTGTGCCTGGGCCCCTTCAGAGGCGGCAGGAAGGCCGCTGGCCTTCTGACGAAGCTTTCGAGGCCTTCTCCGACGGCAGGGACTCGAAGAGAAGAAACGCCATGAACAGAAACTTTTGGCGCTCCGCGCGGATTTCTCGGATCCGCGCTGGGCCCCCCTCCCGACGGCGCCTCCGGCGCCGCCCCTGGCGCGCTCCGCGAGCCCGGGAGGGGGTTCCAGCGCGAGCGCCAAAAGTTTATGTTTATGCAGTTTGCGTCTTCTTCTCATGATTATCATGATTATTATTTGTCTTCTTCTTGCTTTTTTTTTTCTGATTATTCCTATGATCCGTTAGGGCTTCGCCCCCTGCCGCCGGCCCCCTCTCTCGGAGAATGGGCCATGGAAGAGCGAAGTCATGAGGCTTTGGCTTCACCATGAAGCAGCGTCGGAACTTCATGCGAAGACGATGGGTAATTGGCAAGACGAATGGAGATTGCGAGTCTAGTGTTGTACTCGCTGTTGTATTTTCCATCTGCTCCCGTACGCTGTGCCCAAATCTTCTCCCCGAATTTGAAAATGCTGGAAGTCTCTTGTGAGCCTGACCCCGCCGTCTGCGTGAGGGGTGCCACCGAATTTTAAAAAATGTTGCAAATCCTCTGTGTTTTTGGACCCTGACCCCACCGATCTGCGTGAGGGGTGCCACCGAATGTCAGAAATGTAGCAAATCCCATGTGTTTTCGGACCCTGACCCCACCGATCTGCGTGAGGGTTGCCACCGAATGTCAGAAATGTGGCAAATCCCATGTGTTTTCGGACCCTGACCCCGCCGATCTGCGTGAGGGGTGCCAGCGAATTTCAGACATGTGGCAGATCCCATGTGTTTTTGGACCCTGACCCCGCCGATCTGCGTGAGGGGTGTCAATTTTTACCCACCCCAGCAATTCAGACAACATGCTCAGGGCGTGCTAAACCTGCCTGGTTGGGCCTCCCCCCCCCTCGCGCGGTCCATCAACAAGGAACAGCAAGCAGCAAGAAGCAGAACTGTAACAGCGGTAATTGGAAGCTGCAACTGGTACAGGACACTGCGAACCTTCGGCCTACAGCCTGGTGGCCCTACAAGGGAGCCAGCGGATGATTAATGTTATTTGTCCTAAAGCTTGCGAAGCCTTCTCCGAAGACCGTGACGGCTTCTGAGAAGGCGGGAGGGCTGAGAAGCCCCGCCGCCTTCAGCGAACTCCTGCCCCGTCTCGCCTCTCATTCTCCCGGGGCGCGCCGCCAAAGGACGCGTCCGCCCTCGACAGGGACGCGTCGGTGGCTGACCACCTGGCCGACAAGGGGACCCTGTCGGGGCAGGCCCTCAGAGGAGGAAAACAAGGGAACGAACAGTGACATAAACATCAAAATTCGCAGGTCCGCGCGGATTTCTCGGATCGGCGCTGGACCCCCTTGGCGGCGCCTCCGGCGCCGCCCTTGGCGCGCTCCGCGCGCCAGGGAGGGGGTCCAGCGCGGATCCAAGAAATCCGCGCCGACCTCAGAGTTTTTATGTTTACGTCATGTTTCGTTCCCCTAGAAAATGTACCGATGCCGCTGCTCTTCCCTGGTTTGGGCCTCTTTGAGTCTGGGGCCCTCGTCGCCACGGCCGGATTCGCCTCGAAGCTCTAGACAGAGCGCACCCAACGAAAGGTCCAGGGAGTAGCGGTATCGATACCCCTCGCGTTGCTCCCCACCCCCAGCCCCAGCCATGCGATACCCTGACTTCTTCAATACGCGGCCCACGGTAGTTCCGACTCTTTCCCCGGGGCTGGTTTTTCAGCCCCAGCCGTTTTGCTGACGGCCCAGAGGCCCGGCGAGGGCCCCTTGGAGGCCGAAATCGACCACAAAGCCTCCCGCCGCTTTTTTTCGCGACGCGAGCGTGCCTGGTCAGGCGATGGCCTCTCTGTTGAAGGGGCCCAGGGACACACAAATAAATATACAAATCCCGGGATTCCCCATACTGTCCCATATGTCCTCGGTTTTTGCCTTCCCCCCCCCCCACTTCCCATATTTTTCCATACTTTCGGGCATTCGACGATGCATTGTGTCTGTGTGTTTTGTCCCCCCCTTCTCTGTGCCCCCCCAGGCCCTGGAGTACTTCCGCGGCCTCGAGAACGCGTCGTTCCGGAGGCCCGTGCTCGTGCCGCCGGGCGACATGCGGCGGCCGGCCGCCAGCCTCCTGGGCGTGGACTCGAAGCAGGCCTGGCGCGCCCAGAGGGGGTGCGGAAGAGGTGATTCGGGAGTCTTGGGACGGGGGTCAATGCAAACGGGGGTCAGCCAGGGCGCCGGATCCTGCAGGATCCTGCCAAGACCCCCTCTGGCTGACCCGGGTCCGCGAGCCCGACGTGGCCGCGAGGCGGCCGCACATGTTGGCTGAAACGGGTTTGGGAAGACCTGCGTTGCAGTGTTTTGTTTCCTGCATTGCAGTTTTTGGTTTCCTGCTGACCCGGGTCTGGATTGACTCGGGTCAGAAGATCCCCGAGTGATTATACGACGCCGAATTTGGCATCGCTCGGACGTGTGTGCCTCGGCATCGCTCGGACGTGTGCATTTTTCCTTCGGCGAGGACTATCGAGGAGTATCCTTGATCATTTCGTGGAAAAACCACGCACGAAACCGAAAAAGCACAGGAATTGGACGTCCGAGCGATGGCCAGGTGCAGTTTTCTCCTGGCGAGGGCCATCGAGGAGCATCTGGGATCAGCCTGCGGGAAGAAAAGTTCACACTCGCGCGAAACCGACAAATGCACGGGGGCTGGACGTCCGAGAGCGATGGCGAGCGATGCCTGGGAGTGCTGTCCAAAACCTTGGGCCCTGGCGTCCCAGAGGTCTCGAGCCAGGCGTTCCCGCCTGGTTTTTCGGGCCCTGGTCGGGTGTTGCCAGAAGTGCCCCTGGCCCAGGGTGCCCCCAGGATTCTCGGGGTGGCCCAGGCGGCCTCCAGCCCCTCACAAGGCCCAGAGGGCCCCCAGGGGCTCAGGAATGGAGCGAAGAGCTGGGGGCACCCTGGGCTGGGGGCACTTGAAGGCAACACCCGAAGCCTGGGTCTGGGGCCCTCACAGGTGGGTCCGGCTCGAGCACTGCCGCAGGAAGGTGGGGTCCGGGGCTCTGGTCGCGCGTTTCCAGGATGCTGCCATTGTTCGTAGGCGTCGGGTCTCGGGGGAGACCGCACGGTTAGGGTTCAGGGTTTAAGGTCGCGTGTCGCCACGATGTTGCCATTGTTTCGTGGCGTCGGATCTCCGTGGCGTCGAGTTTCCGTTGGCTGGGCGACCGCCCGTCTCAAGTAGACCACACCGGCGGCGACGCCGACAGCGAGCTCTGCTCAGAGTGAACAGGAGCTGCTGTCGCTCGTCGCATGTACCCGTTTTTTCCAGGCCTCCCTGATGGGTTCAGAGAAGATGGGATCGGAGGATCGCGCATCATCGCCGACGCGTCGGCGATGCGGCGGGATGTGGGGTCCGATGCTCCCCACGCCGACGGGGCTGGTGCGTCAGCGATGCGGCGCGATCCTCCGACCCCATCTGCTCGGACCCTATCTGGGAGGCCTCCAAACTGCTGTCGCTCGTCGTGCCCATCCCTCTTTGCGTGCCCACGACGATCGTACAGTCAACCCGCATGGTGAGGATGGGCAACCTTCCCAAGGGTACCCTTGCATCCTTGCCTCCTCGGTCCATCCTTGGCCGCTTCCGTTGGCCGCGCCCCGCTCGAAAAGCCTCGAAACGGGCTTGCAAGGCCCTTGCATCCTTACCGCGCATCCTTATGATATGGGTCGATGGTACCCGGCAGGCCCTCCGGGGGACCGGGGAGTTCCAGCCCTCGGCGGAGTTCCAGAGGGCCGGTGAGGGCCAGGGCGCGGAGCTGCCCTGGGGCGTCGGCACGCCCCGCACTGGCGACTCGTGGCCCGTCCACGAGTACTCGGCCATGCACATGCTCGACGTCCCCCACTGGGTCGAATACAGTCTGGAGACCAGGCGCAACGATAGGCGGGGACAGGCAGGGGGGGGGGAGGGATGCATCGACCTCGAATGGTTGGTGCATCGACGATGCATCGCTGGTAGCAGGGCGATGTAAAGCAACACGACGGGCGGCCTGCATCGACGATGCATGGGCGATGTATCGGCCAAGAGAGGCCGATGCATCCCCCCTACGCCCTATACCTATTCCGCCCTGTCGTTGCCCCTCAGGAGACCGGGGACAACATCCAGACCTTCAGCAACGCCTGGCAGGACGTCAAGCTCATCACGCAGGTGCTCGAGAACGTCACCAACGGCTTCTACCTGGACACCCACGGCGGGGATGGCGAGACGAACAGCTACACGCTCCTACTCGAGCTCACCGGCTGGCGCGGCCTCATACTCGAGCCTCAAATCTACGAGTTCGCGACGTTGTGGGGCAAGCTGCGGAAGGCGTGGATATTCCTTGGGTGCCTCTCTCCGACCGGGAACGCCACGAAGCTCGGCTTCGACACCAACGGCGTACTCGACATGCTGAGCGGTCACCAGATCCACGCCTACAATTTGCCCACCTTCATGGAAGAGCTGGGCGGTCGCAAGACCATTGACTTCTGGGCCGTCCACAACGGTCATTATGAGGCAGAGGTCCTGAACGAGACCTTCTTTCATTCCGGGAAGAACATCGAGTTCGGGGTCGTTTTGGTCCGCTTCGATGGTCGTCGGTCCGGTCGTGGCGACCAGTGGTTCGCTCAGCACAGGTCCAAGGACGAAACAGAAGAGCTCATCTTCGAGATCATGCACAACGCCTCCTTCAATTACATTGGTGGCCTGGACGCGTATTGGATCAACTACGTCGAGCCGCGCTTTCATTACAACGACCATGTGTGGGTGAATCCCGCATACTTCGAGAAGCGCGGCCTCCCAGTTCCCTCGTGGTGCAAGTCGGCTCCCCCGCCCGCGCTGAGGTACCCCCGCCCAGGCCACCTCGACGCCCCTGGACTGGACAACCTTCAAAAGTGGACAGGCTCGGGCAGTTCCCCCGGGCCGCACGTGTACGGACATGCGACCGACAAGACGGCGGGGGCCATCCCTTTCGGGTACGGGAGCCCCGGCATCCCCTACGGGCCGTCCTCGCGCAACCCCTTCGGCATCGACCACCAGGAGTACGAGGACCCGGCCTACATGTCCCTGGGCTCGAGCAACCCGACGATCCCGGGACCGGAGGGAGGCGGCGGCACCTGGGACCCCCGCTGGAACTGGGACGGGGGCTACACGTACGAGCAGGAGTCAAAGAAGAAAAAATTGCATAAACACAATTTTTTGACGCTCCGCGCGGATTTTTTAGGTCTGCGTTGGGGCCCCCTGGTGGCGCCTCCAGCGCCGCCCCTGGCGCGCTTCGCGCGCCAGGCAGGGGGCTCCAGCGCGGATGCAGGAAATCCGCGCGGACCGTCGAAAGTTTGTTATGTCTATGTAGTTGTTCCTTCTTCTTCTAAGGAGACCGACAAGATGATCGCGTACATGCAGAAGGCGAAGGCGGACGCCGCGGCCACGGAGTCGGTGGCCAAGGCGCACCGCGTCACGCCCACGCGGCTGTCCTCGGTGGAGGGCCGCTGAGGCTCGGCCACACGCGGGGCCCCCCCGCAGGCGGGGCACAAGCGGCCCGTGAGCGGGCCGCGGGCTGCCGTAGCCCTCGAGGAGCGCAGCAGCATTCGGCACGAGCAGGAGCGCCTGTGTGGAGGTCCAGCGCGCGGCGTTCTTGCCACCCCCCGAGACGGCACCTCCTCCTCCTCCTCCTCCTCCTCCTCCTCCTCCTCCTCCTCCTCCTCCTCCTCCTCCTCCTCCTCTCCTCCTCCTCCTCCTCCTCCTCCTCCTCCTCCCCTCCTCCTCCTCCTCCTCCTCCTCCTCCTCCTCCTCCTCCTCCCCCTCCTCCTCCTCCTCCTCCTCCTCCTCCTCCTCCCCTCCTCCCTCCTCCTCCTCCTCCTCCTCCTCCTCCTCCTCCTCCTCCTCCTCCTCCCTCCTCCTCCCTCCTCCTCCTCCTCCTCCTCCTCCTTCCTCCTCGTCCCCTCCTCCTCCTCCTCCTCCTCCTCCTCCTCCTCCTCCTCCTCCTCCTCCTCCTCCTCCTCCTCCTCCTCCTCCTCCTCCTCCTCCCCCTCCTCCTCCTCCTCCTCCTCCTCCTCCTCCTCCTCCTCCTCCTCCTCCTCTCCTCCTCCTCCTCCTGCTCCTCCTCCTCCCTCCTCCTCCTCCTCCTCCTCCTCCTCCTCCTCCTCCTCCTCCTCCTCCTCCTCCTCGGGGGCCAGCGCCGCCCCGAGAGAAATCCGCGCGGACCTACAAAAGCATCTGCTCGTGTCGTTCTCCAGCGCTCCGTTTGGTACCCCCTGCGCCGTCGAGGTCGAAGGGGCAACACACTTTTGGCCCTTCTGCCCTTCCAGCTGCAGCAGCAGGCTTCGAACAATCGCGAGGAAGTGTGCGCTTTGCTGCTGGTTCAGCCGCTCCGCGCAGTCCGCCGGCCCCATATGGTATTTCTTACCCTTTCCATTTGCATGTCTGCTCGCGGGCACTGGGAAGTTGGGTTGATGGTAGTTTCCTCAATGTGTCGTGTGAAGTTCGCGTGATGAAGAAGCAGGTGCTTTGGATATTGAGTAATGCACTCAACGGAATACGTTGCCACCCAAGTTTCGGCATCGAAGTCCGAAAACACGAGCATGCAATCTCTGTGAGCCCCTTCGTGGTCTGGCTGAGCATCATGAAGGACCCTTCGGAATCTCTGGAAGGCTTCCGGGGGTTCTTGGGGGCGTCTACGGCGCTTCTTGGGGACTGCCTCGGACCATTCTGGGCCACATGTAGGCCATCGTGGGGCTTGCTTGGGGATACATTGTGGTCATCCATGAGGCCTGCCACTCATTGGTCCCCGCTGGTGTGCCCCTCCTTAGCTTCAAGGGGGCCATCCTGATGCTCTCTTTGAGGCCTCTTGTGGAACCTGGGGCTCCGCCTTGGGTTAATGTGTTATGATGCTCCAACCTATTGTAGCTTTGATCACCAGAAAGAATCTCGAGCACCAAAAAAGTACCGACACTCGAGAGTTTTCACGTGTCGGGCCCTGGGAGACACTCATCCGATACTGTCGACAATTTTTCGACGCTTTTCTGGCTGCTGGAAATTATTGAATGGCTGCGCTTATTCCGCCGGCCCATAATTGCGTGCCGTTGTCGACTGACCGAGTTGTCTTTCGCGATGCGGAGCTGCAGGGGCGGCGGCTGTTTTTATCAGGCTTTGCGTTCGGCGTGTGAGGCTTCCTGGTGGCCGCTGGGGGAGTCTTGAACGCGTCGCGGGCCGTCTGGAAGCGTTTTGCCTACGGGGACTCTTTCGGGAGGCCTCCTGGTGGCCTCGTTGGGACTCTTAAGCGCGTCGGGTCGTTGGCACTTGCCTGCGTGCTCGGGGGGGCATTTTGGGGGCCTCCTGGGGCCTCTTGGAGGCCTCCTGAGGGCCTCTTGGGGCCTCTTAGGGGCCTCTTTGGGATTCCTGGGGGCTTCTTAGGGCCGAGGGCTCCAAATGTTGTTTCGTGTTCCCCTCCTGGGACCTCTCTTGGGACGTTCTTGGGGCCTTCTTGGGCCGTCTTGGAGGCCTCTTGGGCCGTCTTGGAGCCCTCTTGGGGGCCTCTTGGGCCCTCTTGGGGCGGTCTTTGGGGCCTCTTGGGCCGTCTTGGGGTGTGGGGAAGGCGGAAATGCGAAAACGCAAAAATCTCTCCAAAACCTCAGGAAAAGCAATGATTTCTCCCTCTTGGGGCCCTCCCAGGGCCGCTTGGGGGCCTCTTGGGGTCTCCTGAGGGCCTGTTGGGGGCGTCTTGGGGTCTCTTAGGGGCTCTTGGACCGTCTTGGAGCCCCCTTGGGGGCCTCTTGGGCCCTCTTGGGGCGGTCTTGGGGGCCTCTTGGGCCGTCTTGGGGTGTCGGGGGTGGAAACGCCAAAAACTCCCCCAAACCTAAGGAAAAGCAATGATTTGTACCTTTGGGAGCCCTCCTGGGGCCGCTTGGGGGCCTCTCGGGGGCCTCCTGAGGGCCAGTTGGGAGCGTCTTGGGGTCTCTTAGGGGCCTTGGGGACTCCTGGGGCCTTCTTAGGGCCCGGAGCTCGAAATGTTGATTCGTGTTCCCCACCTGGGACCTCTCTTAGGGCGTTCTTGGGACCTTCTTGGGCCGTCTTGGGAGCCTCCTGGGCCGTTTCGAAGCCCTCTTGGGCCGCCTTGGAGCCCTCTTGGGGACCTCTTGTGCCCTCTTGGGGCGATCTTGGGGGCCTCTTGGGCCGTTTTGGGGTGTCGGGAAGCCGAAAACGTGGAAACGCCAAAAACTCTCCAAAACCGCAGCAAAAGCAATGAATGTTGCCTCTTGGGGCCCTCTTGCGAGTGCTCTGGGAGGCGTGTTGGGCCGCCTGGGGGGCATCTTGTGCGTCTTGGAGCGATCTTGTGGCATCTCGGAGCTCTCTTGTATCATCGTGAGGGGCTCTTGGCGGCCTCTTGGCCTTTCTTAGGGCTCGAAATTATTTCTGGGATGTGGTCCTTAAGTACGCTGGGTGCAACATCATTCCTGTGGTCCTTCTTGAGGCCATTTGGGGGCCAACTCTGGGCCTAGCAAGCCCATTGGAGCCCGCCAGGGCGAGAAGTTCACAAACGAGATGAATAAAAACATTCTGTTCGACGACTCAAGCCGTCTTGGAGCCTGTTGTTCTAGATTCAGGCATGTTGATTTGCATGGCGTTCGCCCCCTCCCCACCGCCCCTCTTCGAACGAATACCAGCATGCAAGTGCCTTTCGACTTGCGTGATTTCCGCACCTGCAAGTCGTTTGCGGCTTGCTTCAGGTTCAGGCCCCCCCCCCATCCATGCAAGGAAACTTGCTGGGGTCTAAAAAACAGGCTCCTGGGAGACTCCGACGGGCGCATGTTCGGTCATCTTGTGGTGTCCTTGCCGTCCATCGGGCTGTCCATACTGAGCCATCTTGGGGCCACCCTCGCACCATCTCGGGGCGTCCTGGGGGTAACCTGGGCCATATCAAGGCCTGGTGCCGCATGGCCCGCGCTCTTGGACCGCTCTTGGGCACCCCTAAAGGCTGTCTAAAGCCGTATGGGACTCTTGGGGCCGTCTAAAGGCTCTGGGACTGGGACTCTTAGGGCCGTCTGGGATTCTTAGGGCCGTCTAAAGCACCCCCGCGCTCTGGGACTCTTGGAGCCGCCTCAAGGCTCCCCTTGGGGGTCTTGGGGCCCTCTTATAGGCTCAGCGGGGGGGCCCGCTGGGCCACCTCGGGGCCCGCGAAGCCCGCTGGGGCCGCGGTGGCGAGAAGGCGAACAAGCAGCAACAGGACGTGTTTGTTCGTTGAGCCTGTCTCCCCAATTAGAGCTGTGCGTAGCCCGCCTAGCTTTGATCGGAAGAGGCTCGCTGTCGCCCCGGAGACCAAAAAAAAGGGTTTGTTCGTGGAGTTCTGCCATCCTGGGGGGCCTCCGATGACCGGCTCTTTGGCAATCTGAGGGTCGTCTTGGTGTCCGTTAAATCCTGGTTTCTGAGGCGCTGTGCGCTGAACCTGGTTCCTATCCTGGTTTCTGAGGCGCTGTGCGCTGAACCTCCTGTGGGCTGACAGGGTAAACCCTGCGTATCGCTCGTGCCGCGCGGCGTCCCGGCGGCTCTCCGGCCTGTGGGAGCTCCCAGGAGGTTTACTGACCACGCACTTGCAACCCAGGGTAGGGGCGTGTTTTTCATTCCTCACGTTAGGCTAGCTTGGACATGCCTGGTCCATCTCGGGGCCCTGTTAGCAGCATCTTGCGGCCAGCGGGAGGCCTGACCTGCATTGGTCCGGTCTCTCGGGGCGCTTCCGCCAGCTCTTCGCCCGCTCGTGGGGCGATGTCTTTCAGCCCTGGTGAGGTCCACAAACCCCCCAACGGCACTCGCGAGCGCAGACCAGAAAGACATCGACTTGACCACACTACCTGATGTGTGCTTGCTTCTACTTGCTTCCAAGATCTAGCACGCCGCTGGCCCGACGGCCCGTCGAATTACCCAGGCCTCACGGCCGACCCCGCCAACGAGGGGGGGCGGGGGAAGGGATCCAGGGGAAGGGCTTTCCCTTCCACTCGGCTATGACATTGCTCGATTGCTTGGGTGGTAGCAATCGTGTTGAGCCATTCTTGCTTGAATGATATTAAGGGAATTGGCCCATCATGCAACCGCGGAGGCGACGTGGACCAGAGGCCTGTCGGATGCTTTGGGGGGTCTCTGGGGGAGCCTCCGTGGGGTGTCTCCATGGAGGGTTTCTCGGATGGGCTTAGGCGACCCGTCCTCCTCCTCCTCCTCCTCCTCCTCCTCCTCCTCCTCCTCCTCCTCCTCCTCCCCCTCCTCCTCCTCCTCCTCCTCCTCCATCTCCTCCTCCACCTCCCCCTCCTCCACCTCCTCCTCCTCCTCGGGTCGCCTACGGCCCCGGGGAAACCGTGCATGTCTCCAGGGTCTCTTCGGAGCCTCTTGAAGAGCACCTGGAGGCCTTTGAACGGCTCCAGCATGTGGACTCTTGGAGGCCTCTCGGGGGCATCCTGGGTGATCTCCGGGGTCGACCCAACCAGTGTTTTGTGGCGATGTCGTTGGTCGTTTTCGTTTGGGTTCGTCCTGCAGCAGAGGCAGAACGAAGACGGAACGAGGGAAAACGAAAACAAAGCGAAGACGAAAAACACTGTTTAGGTCGAGCCCTGTTGTCGACCTGTGGGGCAGTCCTGTACGCTCGTGAGGTAGAAAGGTGGACATGATAACAACGTATGAGAACGCATGATTGTTTCATACGTTGGGCATCTCGGTCCAGACCCTGAGGCTTCAAGGAGAGTGCAAGAGACCCTTCAGACAGCTCCAGCCCCGGCCACTGGGACAATCGTACAGTGCCGTTTTTTATACATGCTCCGCGTGCGGATCATGTTTTAAAAAATGCAGGGATTTAGTACTAAGAACAACGATGAGTTCATGCATAAATTTATTCATAAATTAGTCATGTATTAAAATCCTATATTTTGAAAATCCTATGTATTAAAAACTGCCCTGTAGGGCACGGTGGAGGCTTGCAGCTGGAACCACGCTGCTTGACCTCGAGGCGCAGGGAGACAAGAAATCAGCGGGGGGGGGAAACTCCTCCCCGGGGAGGCGCGCCCCCTTACTTTACATCGCCTTCATCCGTCGTTCCTCCCGTGGGGGGCCGCGCGGATCGGCGCAAGCTGCCAGCAGGCGCGTGCGAGCAATTTGTGCAGGTACCCCGCATTAGAAACCATGCGCAAGTCGCGTTTATGATCTTCCGCGTTGGGCGTTCAAAATAATATGTGTCCTTATGCTCCTGGCCATCCGACCCCGTGCGGCCTTCTCCTCTCCCTTCCAGTTTCCTCCTCCGCCTCACTACTCGCTACTCCACCCCTTTTCCTTGCACAGTTCTCCCATGTCGCACCACCAGACGTGTGGGTAGGGCGGGCCGAGCGTTTCCCGTGAGACGTCTTCACCATCTATGATTAAGTCGGGCCTGTCCCTCTACAGAAGGAACATCCAAACATAGTCTAGAAGTAGTCTGGGGAGTATTTGGGAGCAGTTGGGGAGTATTTTTGTTGGGGTATCTTTATTTATCGTCGAAAATCCCCCTGCAGAGAGGGGACAGGCCCGACCTAGATCTGTGATCCTGAAGCTTGAGATGTGCAACAGCTTCACGGATGGAGGGCGGGCCGTCCTCGAAGTTGTGGTTCTCGCCTCCGCGTTGCGCACAGCCGCTTTTTCTGTAAGCAGTTCGCAGCAGCTTCTCAGCATGCGGTTCTGGCCTCGACGCCGTACACGGCCGTCTTGTGATGTTGCGGCGGCTTCGAGAATGGAGGGCGGGCCGTTTGCAAAGTGTGGCTCTCGCCTGGGCGCCGCGCACATTCGTTTTGAAAGTTTGCACCTTCACGGATGGAGGGCGGTTCCTTGCCAAAATTTGGTTCTCCCGTAAACGCCGCGCACAGTCGGTTTACAAGTTTGCAGCAGTTTTTTTTATGGAATCGCATAGTTGAGGTTCCAGGAATGATGTTCTGGCACGGTTTGGAGTTGTCAGTCGGCAACAGTCACGCTGATTCGCGGTGTTGAAGTTTCAGGAATGGTGTTCTGGCACGATCTAGAATTGTCAGGAGGCAGCAGTCACGTTGATCCGCGATGTTAAAGTCTGAGAAATTGTGTTTCGGCAGGATGAAGTATAGTTCGACGGTTGTCTTACAATGGGAAATTGCCAACAATGGAAAAAATAGTATGGGGGGTGTATTGCAACATCGTTGACGGGCCTTGGGCTTACATTGGTGTGCCTCCCCCTCCTCTTTTCATGTCGTCCCCCTTCCCTTCCTCCTTCACCTCCAACCTCCTCCCGCCTCCCTTCTCATTCCCCCCCCTTCATCCCTCCTCCCTCCCTCTCTCCCTCCGCCCCTCTCCCTCCTCCATTCCTCGCCCTCCCTCTCACATCGCGCCCGCTCCTTCCCGTCAGCATCCCCTGCCTCCTGCCTCCTGCCGTCCCGCCTCATCCCCCCCCCCTCCGCCAATGTCCTCCTGCCGTCCTGCCGTCCCGCCTCATCCCCCCCTGCCTCCTGCCGTCCTGCCGTCCCCTGCCCCCTGCCTCCTGCCCTCCTGTCCTCCTGCCTCGTCCCCCCCCCCTCCGCCAATGTCCAGCACCTCTCCGCCCCCCTGCCGGTGCACAGGGCACGTGCGCAGCACCGCGAGGCGCAGCCGAGGACCACACGGACCAGGCGGGACGCCCGACCTCCCCGCCCCACCGCACGTGGCAGCTCCGGAGGGGTGCTCCGGAAGGGGGCCTCCGCCTTCGGGGACCGCAGGGGCCGACTAGACGTAAGAGTGACCTTTCGCCAGAGTGACCTTTTGGTGCGGGCACAGGTGGGTCCCCAGATGGCTGAAAACGAAGCAGGAGCAGCGGCTTGCGCGCCCGGGTTTGGTCGGTCGCGGCC